TTATCGCAACCAAATCTTGTCCTTTTTCTTCTTCTATATTTTGGAATCTAAGATAAAATTCTGATCTATCCAACTCCCACTTGATTGTAAATGTATTGACTGCTGCTAGGATTGTATTTGCAAAAAATTGGAAAAATGAGAAAATTCCATTGCAAGAAGAAGTTGTAAAGAAAATTTTGGAATGTGCTGAGATGAGTAGATTGACTTTTGAAATTAGAGAGCAAGAAGATAAACAATTTTATTTAGTTTGGGATCTTTTCTATCAATGGTTGAATGATGAAATATTAAAATATAAAAGTTAGATAATAAGGAATAATAATGACTTTATTTTCCCTTTCTTTTTATTGGTTTTTGATACTATATCTATATAATAGTTTTCTTTGTTTCTTTCTTTTTCATATTTGGGATAGAATTGGTATGATTATAAGATTTGTTTTAGAATAAAATATTTAAAATATAGTTATCTCATAAAGGCATGACCGAATAAAAGTTTAGTCAATTTTTTTTTTTTTTCTTTAATAGCGATACTAGGATTTATAAATTTGTATTGATAAGAGTATTATATAAAGTAACTGTAATTGTGACTATGAGGTGAATGCACAAAACCGATGGACCAACCGACTTACTGTGTGTACAAAAATATGGGGGAGCTGATACTTTTATGTTTTGTTGTTGTGTTTTTTATGTTAAAAAAATAATAAAAATTTATAAAAAAAAAAAAAGTAAACATTAATTGCTCTTTAAGTGTCTGCTGAAGTTTTAGATTTATTTTTTTATGCTGATGTCTGTTTCAATGCCCAATCTTGTTTAAGTTTCTCTTCATGTAACCCATAGTTTTCTTTCTCGTATAACCAATGCTGTTCCTACAATACTGGTGTTGCATGGTTAGACAATGTTCCGGTTAGCATGTGGACAGCCATGAACCACTTAGAAATTCAGCAGATGCAAAGACATATTTTTACAATTATACTAAGTTAAACTCCCTTTTATGACTCTGTGATCCCTTAACAGAATAGAATAGAATTCTTTATTGGCCAAATGTGATCAGACACACAAGGAATTTGTCTTGGTGCATATGCTCTCAGTGTACATAAACGAAAAGATACATTCATCAAGAATCAAGAATCATAAGATACAACACTTAATAATAGTCATAGGGTACAATAAGCAATCAAATCATACTAGGAAACAGTCAATAAAAATCGTTAGGATACAAGCAACAAATTTGGATAGAGTCAGGATGACTGGCTAGAGCTGAGCATTTACTGGCTGGATGCCCTTCCTGATGCCATGTGGAGTTTGCAGCAAATATTTTATTTGTGTCCTAAGAGAGAAACCTTTGCCTTAACCTATGATTGAACTCTCAACCTTCTGAGTGGGAGACGAGTTAGGGTTAGGGTTCAGCGCTAGGACACTAAGTCAAGGTTGATTACTTAAAAATAAAGTAATAAACCAAAAGTATATTGAAAATTAAAAATTGTAGATTTCTTCCCTGAGATCCCACACATATCTAAAATAGATGCCTGAACAAATATTAAGGGGGGGAAAATCCAAGCTATTGTTGCATGATGCCATTAATATGTGTAATAACATGGCTAAGGTGTGTTATAATCATAATCATTACAGATAATTATGGAATTGCTTGCTGTTGCTTTCTTGCATACCTTTTCTGTGTTCTTGCTTTTTGACATGTAATTAGTACCTGGCTCCAATAAGTGGCAGTATGTTGGGTAAGGCATTGACTTGCATTACATATAATAATCTATTGTTTGCAAATAGCAATGCTCAAGTATCGCGCAAATTTAACTGAAAAGTAGACAACTATTTAGTACGTTTTAGTTTGAATGAATCTTATCACTATTGTATCTACACCAACTATCACTAAATCAACTATCACGCAAATCAGAATTCAGAATAAGGTTGCAAACCCAGCTTAGAAAACTGGTTAATATCAAAATATTTCCATTTTCTACTGGTGAATGTACATTAGTAACTGTAGGAGATGAGCAGGCTGAGCCCAAGGATAATTGTAAGTTTTGTAATTTCTGTAAAGTTGGTGTGTAAGCTTTGTAATTTCTGTAAAGTTGGTGTGTAAGCTTTAGCTTAGTGAAAGATTAATGATAGAAGGACTGATAGTGGTTACTTAAGCTAGACTTTGTGAGGGGATCATCCTGGCTGACAATTAAAGGCCCCTCTTTTGTCTAGTTGAAACATTCAGACAATGTGAGACAAGGAGTATTATTTTAAGTATCAAGGTCATTAATGAAAGCATTTTTGACATTAATTAGCACCTATTGTGTATTTATTTGCCAAGCCATTATGTGTATATATTTTCTTCTTGAAGTTTTGAAAATACTGTATTTAATGAAGTTTCTATTTAACATAGGGTTGTTAAAAAACAACCCTAAAATGTATAAAAGTATGCAGTCTTTTTTTCTACTAGTGTTTTCTTGATATATTACTACTGTTTTATAAAGCCAGATTGATTTTATGGATACAACATTGATTATACACATTGCATGTTCTGTATAGCAGTACCTTTTACCTCTTACAAAGGCTTTTATTGTCATGATTTTTATTAAATAGATAAGCTAGTGTTTTTTTTTAAAGAAATAGCTTCAGCTTCTATCCCTTCCTCTTCAAATGAGATAATCAGCAAGTATGTGTAAAAGAATGTTTTTTTTTCAAGCTTCCTGAAATAAAGACAAACTGTTCGACCAAATGGAACAAGAAGAAAAATGGCCCTTTGTACTAAAATATCCAAAGCCACATATCCAAAATGGTCCTCAACTTAAAACCGCAGTGTGGGCCTGGCCATTATGGTTGCATGTTACAGTGACAGTTAAGTGAAGCATCTGACTTAACGACCCCTATTCCTGCTTTCCCCATTGCAATTGTTAAATGAACGTGTGGGTCGTTAAGCAGAGCATGGGGTGGATCTCAGGGGGAAGCTTTTGGAGGCCTAGTGCCAGCTCAAGCTCACCTGTCCCGGACCTCCTAAGTTCTCCCCCCTCCCCAAGACAGCCAGTGCTGCTCCGCTCTCTGCCCTTCAGGGTTACCCAGGCCTCAGCCTGCTCCTAAGCCGACTGTCTAGTTAGGCAACAGAGCCTAAAATCTGGTCAGCAGAAGCGGCTGGCACACGGAGGATAGCTGTAGCCTGTAGGCTGAGACCTACTTCCATCCACCCATCCAAGGGACTTGCAGAGGCAGCGGGAGTCTCGGGAGGCCCTTGGGTGGCTAAATGGGAAAATGGTCTTGAAGTAGTATTAAGAGTTGCTGTGGGAGTCAAGTAGGCACGTGTGTGGGGAGGCCCTTTAGCTCAAGAAGAATGCATGGGTGCCACAGGGGTAAGTGAGAGGTCCCATACTGGTTGTGAATAGTGCAGGGAGGGTGGCCTGTGTTGGCACAGATACCTGGGGTGCTTGGGATAGTGCAGGAAATCCTGTGCAGATCAAGGACAATACGTGGGGTGGGTAGCGCAGGTTGGGAAGGGTGTTTGTGTGTGTGTGTATGCGTGCGTGCCTAAGAAGTGCTGCATGAGTTGGGCAAAGCGTGTGGGACAAGCTTGGTTTGGGGAAGGGTGTGTATAGGTGCATAAGAAATACTGCATGAATCAGGAAAGGTTAATCCATTTGAGATACCTCGATTTGAAAATTGTTGCCCTGTGACATTGTTTTGATTGTTTAAAAGTTCACAACATTAATTTTAGTAGTATATGGATTGTAGTAACTCTCTGTCTCTGTGTCTCTCTCTGTCTCTGTCTCTCTGTCTCTGTCTTTCTCTCTCTCTGTCTTTCTCTCTCTCTCTCTCTCTCTCTCTGTGTGTGTGTGTGTGTGTGTATCTATAATCTATGCACACACACACACACATATATGCATGCATATAAATTATTATATGTCAATTTTTTTAAAAAACAATCTCTGTCTTCTGATTTAGCTGTTTTCATGTTGTGATGTTTAATCCACATCTCATGTCTGTGAAGTCCAGCATTATATTGGAAGAGTCTAAGTCTGTAATATATCTGATTGATACTGTTTGTGATAATTCCAACTGGCATGATGGACTCTGTGCAGACAAACACTGTACAGCGTTTGTACAATGATTATTCACGTTGAAGTTAAGCAGAACATATGAAGACCATAAGTTCTTGAGAAGGACTTTTTACTTCAGTGTTAACAGCTATACAGAATTATTACTTATTGTTAATTGAGATCTGTCTCTCCCTTTTCTCTTTTGGCTTGTTTTATTTTAACAGCTACAACTGAGTAGCGGAGTGGAAATTCTGGACAGCCATTTAGGACAGCCATTTGTCCAGAATGGTATAATGTCTCCTGCTTAGGTACGGGGGTTGGACTAGAACAGTGGCCCCCAACCTTTTTTGTGCCACGGCCCGGTACCGGCATCACAAAATGATCCGCGGCCCGGTACCGGCATCAGCACGCATGACAAGGCAAGGCGAGCCGAGCGACTGGCCAGCCAGCCGTCCCCCGCTTCTCCCCGCCACCTTCAACTCCTCCTTTGTACCTTTGTCGATGGACTTTGCTTTGGGATGGCTTCGGGACGGTCACTTGGCTCGCCTTGCCTTGGGTGTTGAAAGAATCCTCGCGCCTTAGTTTTGTTCAAAGCCCCACCCCGCTTCGATGAAACTAAGGCACGGGATTCCTTCAGGACCCAAACGCCGCTTTCCAACCGGAAAAGCTCACCCGGAAGCATTTTCTCGTCAAACAAGATGGCGGCACCCAGCAAACCAGCGGCCCGGTAGGAAATGTTCCACGGACCGGTACCGGTCCGCGGCCCGGTGGTTGGGGACCCCTGGACTAGAAGACCTCTTAGGTCTCTTGCAACTCTGTTATTCTGTTGTTCTCAAAATGACATCCTAATCTGCTTGCTTTTTCATCAGAAATATATCACTTTTAACCAACTTGAATTTTTTCCTTAATTAAATTTTACAGTAATGCAAGTATTAGTAAAAGCTGCTTTTTTGTTTGTTTTTTAAACAGTTTAAAACAAGGAACCAAGCCTCCTACGACCCCAGTAAAAGCAAAAAAAGTCAGCACATTTCAGGAATTTGAAAGCAACACGAGCGACGCCTGGGATGTAGGAGAAGATGATGATGAACTTTTAGCAATGGCTACAGAAAGCCTCAACACTGATGTAGTCATGGAAACAGCTAACAGAGTAATTCAGAATCACAGCAAATTACACGAGCAGCACAAATTGCAGGAGGAACAGATAGAAAGGGAACAGCCCCAGAAAATTTCAGACTTGCCTTCAGCTGCATGTGGTGACAACAGACTGGTTAAATCTGTCAGCGAAACAAACACATCCAGTTCTGCAGGTATATTACACTTAAGAAACTCAATCGCTGCCCTGTGCTTCCCCGGCTGAATGCAACAGTTCTTCCTGAGCACCAATCAAAAGGTCATGCTGATTTTCCATAAATGAAGTTGGAAAATGGCTGATAGCTCAGTTCCGATACTGCGAATATTAAATTTATTATCCCGAGTTACATGGAACTCTAATTACCCTCTTAGTTTTCCAGAGACTCTGGTAGTAGAAATGGGGGGGGGGATCTATTTTTAATTATTTTCAGTATGAGAAAACTGCGAAACAACAGATTTCTAATAATTATATAAAACAGCACTGTACTTTCTTTTTATAAGTAAAATACTTCTTTTCTTACAAAAGGAAATTTCAGAGTGGTAGTCCTTAGTTTTCCCATCCGCTTCTTGACAAACCTGAGGTAAATAGCAGGATAGATCTCGTATTTGAGTTGGAGGTAAGGGGATAAAATACTGCTATTTGTAGTCCAAAGTTTATTGAAAATACATAGTAATACTCTACAGGGAGTCCTCCACTTACGACCACAATTGAGCCCAAAATTTATGTGGTCAAGTGAGACATTTGTTAAATGAGTTTTGCCCCATCTTACGACTTTTCTTGCCACGGTCGTTAAGTGAATCACTGTGGTTGTTAAACTAGTAACACAGTTGTTAAATGAATCTGGCTTCCCCATTGACTTTGCTTGTCAGAAGGTCGCAAAAGGGGATCACGTGACCCTGGGACACTGCAGTGGTCATAACTATGAACTACTAGTTGTCAAGCATCTGAATTTTGATCACATGATCATGGGGATGCTGGAAAGGTTGTAACTGCAAAGCGGTCATAAGTCACTTTTCTCAATGCCGTTATAACTTTGAATGGTCACTAAATGAACTGTTGTAAGGACACACTCTCTCTCTCTCTCTCTCTCTCTCTCTCTCTCTCTCTCTCTCTCTC